ATTATTTCTTTTCCTGTCCCCCTCTTTCCCATCCTATCCCTACTAATTTGCTACTAAATTATCAGACCTTCTGTGAATCATCCGTGTCTAGGCAGCTTTTTAAAACCTTCCTACATGGATTCACCAATAAAAAGTAGCAAACTATTAATACACAACACCATGGGTGGACTTCAAGGGAATTAGGGCTAAGTGACAAACAGCCAATCTCAAAGGGCTGCACACTCCATGGTTACACTTACACGTATCAGTCTTGAAAAAATATGAGAGAGATGGAGAACAGATCAGTGGTTACCACGGATAAGGGAGATGCTGAAGGAGGGGACAGAGGGGAAGCATGACTATGAAAGGACAGACAAGGGCCTTGTGATGGAACGAACGAACAGTTGAGTATCTCGAGAATGTTGAGAGCCTACATGAAGCCATACGCATGCCAAAATTACACAGAACACACACACAGCGTGTAAAACTAGAAATCTGAAGAAGGCCAGTATATGACACCAGTGTCAACATCTTGGTTTTGTAGCTGTACTGCCGCTATACGGGATGACAATACGGAGCAGGTGAGGGGAAGCATAGATGGGACTTCTCTCTACATACCTTTGTGGCTCCTTGCAAATCTGTAATTATTTCAAAATCTAAAACAGGCGAACAAAATTCCTTCCAGTTTGCAATCTACAGCTACTCGGTTTGTGCATGCCTACAATTCAGTAGCAGAAATAGAGTAAATGTATTTCAAATAAGGAAAGGCTCTGGATTAATTTCCACTACAAAAGATGACTACCAAAGGAAAGAAGTCCTTTGGATTTTAAGGCCGAGATCAGTCTCCCTAGAAGCTGGTACCTGCAAGAAGGCCCATCATCCCATGGACGGCTCTAGTACCTGCCTGGACCCCAGATAGCTCTTCTCTGAAATCTGTTACCTGGTCCATGTTGGTTCCTCCTTTTTTCCCATTCTCATTTCAAAATGTATGATGTCCAAAGAGCCACGGGGTGGAGGACCTCACTTCTTACTCTAAGGCATAGTCCCTCCAATTCCCCACTTTCCCCATCCTATTCAACGAAATTCACAGAATTTACATCCATATACAGTCTGACCTGCTTCCTTCAAATGCCCCGTTCGTGCCATGGATAAATCTCATGCTATCACCACGGAAATGCACTAAGGATTTTATCCCTCTCTCATATTCTCAATTCCTTCCTTTCTGCCAGTCTATTCCCTGAGCATAGAAATAAGATTTCTCCAGCTTAAAAGATAGATAAAAATAAATAGGGACCATCATATGGTGTAATGGTTATGTGGCTGACTGTGGTTCGAGTCCCAGACCCAGTGGCTTGAAACTCACGCTGAGCATATGTGCACGCATACCCAAAGTCCCAAGAGGAGAATGGAGGAGAAAGGATTGTGGTGTGGTCATCCCCCCTGGGGGATGCTATCTTGCTTTCTATCTTTCTGTCTCTCTGGCAAGCACACGTGCTCTATAGCAAAAATCTCTCTCTCAAAAAAAAATTAAATTAAAATTAAATAATGAAAAGCTCTATACTTCCCTTCAACTCCCACCAAAGTTGGGAAAGGACAAGAGTCTGCTCTTGCTTTCTCCACTTTCTCACTTCCCAATAATTTCTCAACACACCACAACCTAACAGACTTCTGCTCTACCAATTAAGTTGACTGCCTCTGTAGCTGCTAATTTCACTTGTTTTTTCTGAAGCAGTTTAAACTGATTGCTACTACTCTCTTAACATTTTCTCTTCCCTTGTTTTTCTTGTTACTTCTCTCATAGCCTGTTCTCCTCCTTTGCCACCCATCACCTTCCATTCACCTTTAAAGGCCAAAGAGGATCTAAGTATATGCATCTGGGCCTCCTCTCTGTCCATTACATACACCCTGATGCTAACCAAAACTCTCAGTCCAACCCAGACCTTCCACCTAATCCCTGGACTCACACACAAGCTGCCTGTATTTTGACTTCAACCCAGATATCGCTCCTGAACTACCCACAGCCTAATGGAGGCCTCCACTTATATCTGTAGTAGGTACTACAGGCACCTCAAACTCAGATAAAGGAGTGAATTAACTTCTCCCATCAAATCTGCTTTTCTATGTCCTGTCTTGGCAAATTAACCATTTATTACTATTATCAAAGTTTTCAAAGGTAGGAAACGCATCATCCAGGCGAAGTATATCCAACTAATCCCATTAAACCTTTTAACTCTGTCCTTCCTGTTCACTCCTACTGCAACTGTCCATAATTCAGGGTTTTAACACTTTTCATCTGGTCTACTGTGAATCTTTAACTGGTTTCAAAGGCTCAAGTGTTGTACCCCTTTGATCTTCTCGCCCTAATACAGATGGAAGGACGGTTCTAGAACAAAATCCGATGATGCCACTTCTCCTCTCTGATCTTAATCAAGATAATGAGCATTTCTATCAATCCTAAAATTTGCATTTTCTAGAACTTTATAAAACAGAAATGATTCCATAACAAGTCTTTTAGTCTGACTTCACTCAGTATATACTTCCTTTGAGATTCATCCACATTGGTGTGTATATTCTTAGTTCATTTTTACTTAATGCTGAGTAATATTCTACTGTATAGCTACCAAATTTGTAACTAACAAGAAAACACTGCGGGTAGGCACTGTGAGTACACTCTAGATAATAAGTGGGTAGAAATATATCTGGAAATAAGCCATTAAAAGAATACTCAAGGGCCAGCCCTGTAGCACAGTGCTTAAGCACTGCACAGAAGAAGCTGGATCCCACATGGTCAGCCAAGGTTCAAATCCTGGCCCCAGCAGCTTGAAAAACAAGCTGGGCACACGTGCCTAGGATCCTGACGAGATGGAGAATTGGAAGAAAAATGACTGCAATATAACCAGGTCCCACTGGGCGTACTTGCATGTGCTTGTGCACATGCACACATGTCCTCTCTGTAACGTGTGCATATCCCCTCTGGCATTAAAAGAAGTTTTTAAATATTCACATATGATTCTAAGTCAAGTTCAAGTAACATCCTAAGCAGGTTTTATATAAAAGAATAAAGTAGCATCAAAGAAGAAAATTAAGTTATCAACATAAAATTCTAAAACCGGTAGAGTATTTCCTAGCTTAAATTAGTGACAACAAAAAAGCAGGTCATACAATCCACCAAGTTCAATTAGGTGGTCAGCTTACCTCTGCTAAATGTTCTCTAAATGTAAAACCCATCTTACAGAAGCTAAATTTAACAAGTATAAAAGGAGACCTTGTAATACCGAGGTCGGCAAACTTTCTGTATATGGCCAGAGAAAAAATGTTCTAGGCCTTGCAGAACACATATCTCTGTCACAACTACTCAGTTTGGTCTGCCTGTGTGTTCCTCAAACAGCCAGAAAAAAATAATATGTCAGTGAATGGGCACAGGTATGTTCCAATAAAACTTTATTTACAAAACCAGATGGCTGGATTGGCTCTGGGCTATAACTTACTCAATCTTTCTCAAAAATAATACAGTATAGGACTATGTCAACAGCTGTAAGAAAGCTCAAGGGTCACATGTTATAGTGCAAAGTCCCCTTCCATTAGCCAGAGTCCCAGTTTTAAGTGCTAAAGCTGCCATTGGGAGATGATTATCTTAGGTTCCTTGAACCTCTGATCCCATTTCCTCATCTATGAAATGTGGGCAATCTTTTCCATCTACCCTGTCACTGTGAGGAAGAAACAACATAACAAAGGTGGAAGTATTTTGCAAATCATACATAGGCTATCAACTGCACATCTCAACTCAAATATAAGGTATCTTTTTAACATAAATTATTCCTAAAACCAGAAGCACTTTCCCCTCCCCTCCTCAGTATTACACACCATTCTTCTGCCAAAATGGTATTTATCAAAGCTCTGGTGAACCCTATCTTTTAACTTCCAATGTAGATGCATCAATGAAGATCATTTTCCCGCAAAAATATGCTGGAACTTGATCATCTCTCTCTACTATTTTTCAAAACAATATTCTTACTTGGCCCACTCAGGATGATTTGCTAGAGTTTCATTAATCAAATTACTTGTGACTTCAATCATGTGTACACTCTCCTGATGAACCTGGATTACAGATAAAGAAAAAGATCTCAATTAAAAAAAAATTCAACATTTTTCTAGTCTATTATTAGAACAATGATTTTAGAGTCATATAATTATCCCTAGCTGTAATTAATGGAGAATCGCTCACTAAACAGTTGGCACACATAATGTCCTATGATACGCAGTAAGGGAAATAAAAAGTACATCATAGCTCTCTGCCTTTAAGGCACGTGACAATTTACTTTTTAAAAAAGACATTAACCAGCGCGTACAAATACTTAACAGATATACGTAAGCATATTTTTCATATGTATGTGTGTATGCTTTTGTCATTCAGCACTACCAACACTACTGTTAATTCTGTGAATTAACAAAATTATAATGCAGTTTGAGACACAAAGACAAATCACCAAATGAAGGAGGCTCCGGAGTTTAAAAAAAAAAAAAAAAAAAAAATGAAACTGCATCTCTGAATTTACCTTCCCAATAACCAACAAACTGAAGGGGATTAAAACAAAGAATAAGGCAGTAGGGAGAAAAAACAGTATCTAGGGACCAGTAGTTAGCGTAATGGCTATGTCGCTGGACTCCCATGTAGTCAACAGCGATTCGAGTCCCGGACCCGGTGGCTTAAACACACCGGGCGCATGTGCATGCGTGCCCAAGATGCCGAGAGGAGAAAGAAGGAAAAGGGATTGCAGCATGGCCATCCCCCCCTGTAGGGTGATTTCTTACTTTCTGTCTCTCTGTCTCTGTCTGGCAAGCGCACGCGCCCTATAGAAAAAAACTCTCAAAAAAAAAAAATTTATTGAACATACCGCTTATCCTGGTGAGTGTTCTGTATTTACTTGAAAGGAATGCAACTCCTAATTTGTCAATTAGGTCAATTGTTTGACTATGTATTAAAAGTTCTCCAAATCAGCAGTTGGTGTAATGGCTATGTCGCTGGACTCCCATGTAGTGGACCGCAGTTCGAGTCCTGGACCCAGTGGCTTAAACTCATGCTGGGCACATGTGATCACATGCCCAAGATCCAGAAAGGAGATGAGATTGCAGCGTCGCCATCCTCCCGGGGGGGGTGATTTCTCGCTTTCTGTCTCTCTGTCTCTGTCTCTTTGGTGAGCACACATGCCCTATAGCAAAAACCTCTCCAAAAAAGAAAAAAAAAGTCTCTACACAGTCTCATTATTTTTTAATAATTTTTTATTTGTTGTGAGTTTTGGGCCTCCAGGTCCAGGACTTAAATCACAGATGGCCATGTGGGAGTAGAGCACCTTCACCGCCATACCACCTGCCAGTCCCCTACATAGTCTTATTGATTATATACTTATTAACTTAATTATTGTAAAAGTAGTATTAAATCCTTAACTATCAAAAACTTGTCTATTTTTTTAATTGTAACTGTTTGATTTCATGTATTTTAGACCTTTATTATAGTATTTTATAGTAGTTATACTCTTATACCTTATTGTGCATTCATTCTTTCTAGTAATATTTTAAAATTCTATTTTTTCTAATAATATCACTGCACATCTTTTCTGTTTATAAGTTTACATGGTAAACTTCTTTAAGTAAAAATTAGTCATTTTTTTGATGGAATTTAAAGTGTATCTGTTATAGATATCATTTAGTACAGACTTGCTTTGAATATCCAGTCTGACAAACTGGACTTGAACACAAAACAAAGAGAGGCATTAAGGATGACCTTGAAGCCTTTCATGTGAGGAAGTAGAAAACTGGAGTTTCATTTACTAAAATGAGAGAACTATGAGAAGAACAGATAAGCGAACAGGGCTTGAACTCAATTTTTGACCTTACATTTGAGCTGTGTAATAGCATGGCCCTCACCCATGGAAGCTCATTTCTCACTTTCTCTCTCTCAGGTAAACACATATACCCTATGGCAAAAAACCTTACATTAAAAAAAAAAAAAAAAAAAAATCCTAAGACCAGCCAGAAACAATGTTTTTGTAATCCTTGTTATCAAAGGTCAAAGTAAAAGCTGACTGAAGATGAGATAAACAGAGAAAAAGACCTTGAAAGATGAATGTCACTGGGATGGGCGAGCAAGAAGACAGTGTAAAAAAGGACAAAGAAAGGAAATGAAAGTAGAATGGAAGAGACTGAAAAAGGAAAGAAGAAAGTGAGACTGATGAAAGGGTTCTCTAACAACCAAACTGGAAGACTCCACAGAAGCATGTGTAGGCAAGACATAACAAAAACGAAGGCCTCTAAACAAGCCTGTAGAGAGTGTGTGCGTGTGTGTGTGTGTATATAAAAGACTATCCATAATTAATAGCCAAAGAAATAGGTAGGAATTGTACAGAGACGAAACACAAGTACCGAGAGAGCAGCTTGTTACAAGCAAATGGTAAGTTTGAGAACGTAATGAGTCTGCGATTAAGAACAGGGCTTCCAAGTGGATATACGTGTGACAAAAACAATGTAATTCTTTCCCAAACTGCTTCATTTGAGATTACGTATCAAGAACAGTTACGAACATAATCTCTGTAGGAATATAAGGAAAAATTTCACATCCATTATTTCATGTAAACTCCATAATCCTTGAAAACAAAATACCAAACACTAAAATATAGAGTTCAGATAAAAGATAAGTAAATATGTATCAGAAAGTAACAAAAATAAAACACAAAAACAAAAGTCAATAGATATTTTAGGCAAAGATTTTAGCTATTTTAGGTGAAGATTTTCTTTGATAAGATGAAAGGTGAAAGAGGAAACATAATCTGGAAGGACCCACAAAGCAAGAAATAAAGATCTTGTGGTGTATTAGCAGAACAAACAACGATATAAAAAGGAAAGAAATTAATCAAGAAATTCTGATATAGTGAACCAGGTACTCATTAGAAATCACAAGGCCAGGAGGGACCAGCAGATAGCATAATGGTTACGTCACTGGACTCCCATGTAGTTAACCACGGTTCAAGTCTCAGACTCAGTGGCTTAAAACTCACACCAGGCACGTGTGCTTGTGTGCCCAAGATCCCGAGAGAATGGAGGAGAAGGGACTGCAATGTGGCTATCCCCCCGGAGGTGATTTCTCGCTTTCTCTCTCTCCAGTGAATGCACGTATCCAATAGCAAAAAGAAAAAATAACAACAACAAAAAAGCTACTTGTCCTTCAATATCTCATTTTTTCCATCTGCATTTACCCCTGAGGATTCTGGCGAGGATAAAATAAAATGCATGTAGGCTCAGTCTGGGTGGTACAGGCAACATTAGAGTAATGATGTGTCATGCTGGAAATCATGGCCAACCGCAGGTTCAGATCCCCAAGTCCGCCTGAAACACACAGAGCCAGAGCACACACACCCAAGATCCTAACTAGCTGGAGGGCAAGATGAAAGGCATCATAGCAAGATAAGACCTTTTCAAGGGTGCCTGTGTGTGTCTCTCTCTGTCTCTTGTACACGCCTCCTCTCATGAAGGAAATGAAACGAACTTTAATAATGCCTTATGTAAAGGAGGACCGAAAAAAATATAGTAGGCAAATCTGAAGCAAAATCAGTAATGCACGAATCATAAGACCATTAGCTATTACACATATTTACAAGCTAAGTAACATTTTCCATGTTGCTTCTGCTAGCCTCTTATCTATACAGCATTTCTAACAATTAAGAATTTAATAACGAGAACAGTAAGTGTTATACTCTACCTTTGCAGTCAGGAGTAGGGCTAACAGAAGGGTTCCTATCACTAACAAAAATATGATGAAAATGCTAATGATTTTATCTAACATCTTTTCCAACCAGATGATCATCTACAAAGAAATGAAAAAGAAAATTACTTATCTTTAAAGTACAACGTAGTAAAAACATATACATATTGAAATATCATGAAGACAAAGTAGGATATTCAACATTGCAAAGCAAACTATGGTTTAATAATTAAGCAATAAAAGCTGTAAGCGACTTTAGAAAATTAAGCATTAATTGCTATTATTATATGAAGAGTTTATTTCTGTCCTATCTAAAAACAGGAGCCAATTTTAACATAACCTCTTATCTATGTTCAAATTCTCATACTGTAGTATATCTACATTTCAAGTTATAATTTATAACCAGCTAAATATTTCAAAAATGATAACCCCCCCCAAAAAAAAAAAAAAAAAGATAACCCCCAAACTAATCTAAAAATCTCATCAAGTGATACTGTCCATCAGCAAATAAAGATGACATAAGAAAACAGGAATGTTCTAAATTATACAGATGAAACAGGAGCAAATCAAAATAAGAATTACATTCAGAATATTTTTCCCTTTAAGTTACTCAGCATTACAGAAGCAGTAACAATAAAAATTTCATGTTAAAGCAATGATAAATAGCCAGTTCAGAATAACAGTTATTTTGCGAGCCAAAGGGTAGGAAGTGGTGATGAACGAGGAGGGACAAGGCATGGGCTTCATGATACAGGTAGTTTTATCAAACCGGGTGGGAGGCAAATAGCTATTCTTTCATCTTTTTATATTTGATATATTTCATAGTGAAATGCTTTTTAAAATCTGATATCCTTCGTTTCCATTCTTTCGTAAGCATAATCTTTGATGTAATTAATGTAAATTAAAAATAATCATACCATACACTGTCCCTTAATTATTAAAATGTTTGCACTCTCCAAATTTTATCTGATATCCTATATTGATTATAACGTCCCTCATTTTCCACAATCACAAATAACTCTAAAATTTCAAACAATTTTGGTTTTAGAATGTGCAAAAATTCTGATAGTTCTACAATGTCTAAACTCCCATGTAACATTTCAAAACGACATTTAATTAGATTAACAACTGCTGAAATACCGCACTGCACCCCTCAACACCAGCATGATATAGCACTACTAAATTTTTCCTTTTTTTTTTTTTTTTAGGCAATTCTCCTGCGTCGGCCTCTCCTGTTGGTGAGATCACAAGCAGGCACCACTGCACCCAGTTTGTAGGGAGGTTAGGAATCGAACCCAAGCTTCTCATGTGACTCAGGCTGCCAAGAAGCAGCCTCGAGCGGCACACTCTGCTGCTGCTGCTATGCCTAAATGCATCATTCTTCATTCAAATCTGAATCATGCTCTCTAAACAGTAAAGCATCCATAGCTAAGACTACTGGTTAAAAAGACAAAACTGTTTTTTAAATATTTCTTTTTCACTCAATGCTTATAAGCTTGCATCCCCCCATGATGTCTTTAGTCATGGACACAGTTACTAAGAGCAGTGCTATAGTAAACTCAGAGATACAAAGTTAATCTTTAAATCTTGACATTTATAGCTGTAAACAGAAGAGTTAATTTTCAACTGCATGCTACCAAAGCATCTAAGACAATGCGGAGATTTAAAAAAAAGGAAAAACAGGTTTCTAAGATATGGAAGGTCAGGTGTCATATTTTGAAGGTAAGTTCAAAAATCAAAGAAAACTGAAAGTTCCACAATCGGAGCCAACTGAATCAAACTAACACTGGGATCGCTTCCTGAGGAAAAGCTGGTGTCCTATCACTTCTATATAGACATCCACACTGCACGCAGTGAGCAGTCAACATACTTGAATAAGCAAGCATAAGTTCTTTTTTTTAATTTTTTTTTTATTTGGAGAGATTTTCGCTATAGGGCGCGTGCACTCGCCAGACAGACAGAGAGAGACATAGAGACAGAAAGCGAGAAATCACCCCCCAGGGGGGATGGTTACGCCGCAATCCCTTCTCCTCCATTCTCTTCTCGGGATCTTGAGCACGTATGCACACATGCCCGGCTTGAGTTTTAAGCCACCGGGTCTGGGACGCAAACCGCGGTCGGCTACATGGGAATCCAGCGACATAGCCATTACGCCAACTGCTGGTTCCCCACAAGCATAAGTTCTTAATTAGAACCAGGTTTATATCCAAAAATTACAAGTTCTTTTTTAAGTTGCCACAGGATGCCTGTGCTTGCCAGAGAGACAGAGAGAGCGGGAAAGAGCACCACCCAATGGGGCATGGTTACGCTCAATCCTTGTCCTTCATTTCTCTATCCTATTGGTATTTGGGGCACACACGTGCAAGCACATCTCAAGCCACTAGGGCTGGAACTAAAACTGTGGTCAGACATGTGAGATCTGGCCTCTCTAACTACTAGGCTAGGGGCTGGCCCTACAAATCACTATTTCTGAAAAATAGCAAAGGAGTCTCGATCTTTTTTTTTTTTAAAAGTCATATCCTGAAATGTATTTTTAAACGTAAATGATGTGCTATTTATAAGGTATGAATATCTATCTTAGTGCTTCAGTATTTTTAACATATACAACATGGTAATATTCACAAACATATGATGTACATTAACTCTACAAAAATCAAACTTTATATTCTAAGCTAAGGTAGAAGTTTCCTATCACAAGCTATATACCCAAGGGTTAGAAAAAATACACGCTTAGAGTCATCTAAATAAAAATGTATATCCAACGGATATCTGTTCGGGGTAGACATTTTATTTAAAATCTAAAATTAGTAAAGTCATTTAAAAGCCTCAATATATAAGTTAGTTTTGTTTTTCCTTTCCCATTCACACTGCAAAGGCAAAGAGAAGCTAAAAACAGGGTAAGCAGCAAGACAGTAAGAGAGAAAAGAGTAGGACAGAGAGGGGGAGAGACACATTAAATAAAGGGAGACAGAATAAGTCAAGGGAAGATTATGA